GATGCTTGAAAGAGAGGCGGGGGTAGAGTCATGGCTGGAGGTTCTTTGGTGTCAGAGAAGGTGAGAGGAAGCTTCACCTTGCTTTCAGAGGGCAGAGGAGAGGCCTGGGATGGGTGTTAGAAAGAGCACCAGGCTGTGGGATGTTAGAGGTGCAGGGAGAGGCCGCAGGTAGAAGAAGCAAGCACTGACAGAGAAGGCTACATGGTTAGTTCATCCTCACTCGGGTTGTCTTCCCTGAGACTTCTCTCTGACCATACACATCCTTACAGATGCCCCCTCTGCACATAATATATGGTTTTGGGTTGGCCATGTTGACCATGTGGTTTGTCTGTGACCCCAACCTGGAAAGAAATACAGGAAATAAAGAAGGTAGAGTGAGATGACAAAATGTTTCCTGCCCCACATTAGTGACATTAGCATTCAATTACAGGCTCTAGGAGCCTCTCCTCTCAGTCCAGAATCATGCGGTTGTCATTGTTGAGGAGCTAAAGCCCAGAGAAAGGGACAGTGACAGGCCTAGGATCACACAGCCAGTAACTGGAATTATAGCCAGGCTGAAAAGCCAGTGTTCCAAAGCCCCAAAATCTGTACTGTGGCAGTCTCATCTGTAGACAACTGTTCAGTTTTCGTTTCTGTCCTCTCTCTGGAAGTTGGACAAAGAAGCCAAGAGCCAAGAAACTGTCAGGGCTGGTCCCAAGCCCCAGGAGGCTGGGAACCAAAGTTCCACACCCATGTAAACACAGACCAGCTCTGATGCTTCTTAGTTGGCACTGAATAGCTTCCTCCAAATCAGTTCTCTGCTATTATCTTGCTTATCCCTACTGGTCCCCTGGGAGCCAGGGAGGGGCAGAGAGTATTAGCCCCACTTCATAACTGCTAGAAACTCAGACAAGAGGGAAGGCAGTAATTTGCCTAAAGTCACCCAGCAAGTCAGGATGAGGTTGGAACTAGAGGCCAAATCTCTCTCTCTCTCTCTCTCTCTCTCTCTCTCTCTCTCTCTCTCTCTGTGTGTGTGTGTGTGTGTGTTATTGGTGAGGGTAAGGATCGTCAATGAACGCAGCCTATTGCCTGGCATAGGGAGTGGGTGGGGTGTACACAGTCTACAGAGTAAAGGGTCTCCTGTTTTGCAAGAACAACAATCTCACCTCTCCTGGAGGGACAGCTACTGTGAACAGCTGTGTTAGCAGGATCAGAGCTGAAGAGGAAGGCAGGCAGAAGCAATGGAATCTAATCACACAGAGCACAGGCCTGAAGGAGGAAGCAATAACGGGCAGGTGTCCCTGGGTGGGGTCTAGCTACCTGCTTTCTAGTTCCAAAAGGCCCCAGGGAATTCCTAAGCCCACACAGGACCTAATGCCTCTTTCTTGATGCCAGTTAATTCTGGGGTCTAGGATTGGGAAGAGGCATCTGGACACCTGGGGAGATAGATATACTGCTGCAGGTGAGGGTTAGACTCGGAGATGCTGCTGCTGCTGCTGCTGCTGCTGCTGCTGCAGTTCGTCTTTCAGAGAGATTACAAGTAGGTGATTACACACCCACGCTATTATCCAAGGCCCTATAGTCTGACAATGAGTCCCACAGTAATCCTAGTTGGGGGCCCACCCTTCAGCTTCAGTTTAAAGAAAGCCCTAAGAATGTTTCAGCAGGAGAGGAGATAGCTCCATGATAGCACCTGTTCTCACCCTCACCCAGCTCTTTATTTCCCCGTAGTAAACTTCCCTTCCTCCCAGCATAGGCCCTCCCAGACCCTCAGAACCCTGGCCTACTCAGTTTCACCCTCCAAGAGACCCATTTCTTTTTCTCTTTCCTTTGTTCCCTTTCTCTCTGTGTGTCTCTCCCTGTGTCTCTGTCTTTCTCCTGTCTCTTCCCCCCCCCCTCTCTAAAACAGGGTCTCACTATGTAGATTGTCCTGGAATTAGCTACATAGACCAGGGTGACCTCAAACTCATAGAGATCCTCCTGTTTCTTCCTCCCAAGTGTTAGGATTAAAATTGTGTTCCATTACCTGACTTGAGACCATTTGTTAGAGCAGACCCTTCAGTCCCCACGCAGAACTCTGACAAGAGGCCTGGATTCAAGATCAGGAAACCCATGACAGACAGTTGATAGACATAAGATTGCCTAAGTATTGTTGCACAGAGGGACAGAAAGCTACAGTGATCAGACCCAGGAAGTCACTCCCTACTGTTCACGGTGACTCATGAGGCCCCTCTACTATATTCTGCTCACCTTACAAGGGATCTGGCCCAAGCCCAAGGAGGGCACTGCTGGCACAGCCCTGCTAAGAGCTGGGTTTCCTGGCAGCCAGTCATAGTGGGCAGGTCTGACCTGTGCAATACGATCTGTGGTTACAGCCTGGGGCAAGGGCTGGTTGCAAAAGGGGCCGGTGTTCCTGACGAAGTCTGCTTTCGGTCTCACGGTCTCACTGGTAAGCTGGTTCCCAGGAGAATGGAGCGACCAGGGAGGGTGCGTCACCTCAGCTCTGGGCACCGCTCTGCTCTTATTCAGCATCAAGGACACAGCTCCTTCAGGTGTGCATGTGCTCCCATTCACACCAATCCATGCTGAGCAAGCACACTCAGCACAAAGATGCTCACAAAAGACAACAGATAGAACTGACTCTAACACAGAGACACGGGCCTGGGGGGAGCACAACACAGATGCTTAGACATGAGCACCAAGGCCCTCAGCTTCCCCAGCCACAGATGCAACTCAATAAAACACATACTCTGGAGAGCAGACCTGATGCAAATACAGACATATGCACACTTTTAGTAAAGATGGCTAGCTAGGGCTGGAGAGATGGCTCAGCTAATAAGAGCACTGGCTGATTTTCAGAGGGTCCCTGGCAGATCATAACCATCAATACAAATAAATCCAGTTGCAGGGGATCTGACATCATCTTCTGGCCTTGGAGAGCACCAGGCACATCAGATATGTATGCAGACGAAATACCCATAAATATAAAATAACTTAAACATTCTAAACAGATGGCTATTTACATAGATACTCATGTATGTAATTGCGGACTTTGGCACACAGCCAAGTCAGCCACACAGAGAAAGATACATGCATGAAACTGTACACACATTTGTCATTTAGGATTTATTGAACACTTGTGATCAATTACTCATCCTCCAACAGAGAGAAGCTCCTTCCCCGAGTCACACGCATATAAACGCATGCATGGCGGTGGGGGGTCACTAAGCCAAAGATAGAGGACAAGCTTTTCTGCTCTTAATGACCCATGAATCCTGCCCTCCCACACACACACAAAAGAAAAGAAATAAAGCAAGCAAGCAAACAAACAAAGGAACTGGCATGGCTGTATTGTGACTTATGCTAGGTGAGGAAGACAATCTAAATGTCCCTAGATGGGGATTTAGCCAAGGATGTTGAAGTCAGGGTGAAGTAAAGGTCAGAAGACAACTTGCTGAAGTTGGTTGTCTCCCACCATGCGGGTCCTGGAGAATGAACAAGAAGCTGTCCTCAAAATAAAAGGTGAGGAGAAAGGCAGCAGCGTGTGGGCAGATTTCTGGGAATACAGCTCAGTGGTAGATCACTTACTCATGGTGCACAAGACCCTAAATTCAATCCTAAATACAGCCAAGGAGGGAAGGAAGGGATGGTGGAACTAATTTACTTCTTCTCTGGAGGCAGAAGCAGGAGGCCCTTATGTTCCAGGCTAACCTGGGCAATATAATGAGAATAAATAGGGGGCTGGAGAGATGGCTCAGCGGTTAAGAGCACTGACTGCTCTTCCAGAGGTCCTGAGTTCAAATCCCAGCAACCACATGGTGGCTCACAACCATCCATAGTGAGATTGGATGCCCTCTTCTGGTGTGTCCGAAGACAGCTACAGTGTACTCATAATAAAATAAATAAATAAATCTTTAAAAAAAAAAAAGAGAGAATAAATAGTGGGAATAAATAAGTGTAAGTAAACAAACACTGGAATGGCTGGACTATAGCTGAGTAGATAGAGTACTTCCTTGACATATACCAGGCAGTAGTTCTGTGGGTACTGAACCCAGTACTACATAACCTGGACATGGTACTGAATCCCTGTAATCAGCACTTGAGAGGTGAAGGCAGAAGTATCCGGAGTTCAAGTTCAAGGCCAGCCTGGGCCTTACAAGACCCAAAACAATAAAGATGAGGTCAGTTCAGGCTGGGACTCAGGTCAGTGCCATGCCCAGCTATCATTAGAGAAGCTTCTTCTTGCTGTAGATGGAAACTAACAGTGACCCACAACTGGACAGTGTGCAGCGAGTGAGTAAGTAAGTGACCTAAAAGTCGTGTCTTCACTAGTCCTCCCCTCCCCTGGGTTCAGGGAGTTCTGAGGAAGAGGGGGCAGAAAGACAGAAAGAGCCAGCAGGGATGGCGGACACAATGTCTTCCAACACAACAGGACTGACACTTAGGAAGTCACAGGCTGTGGCAGCATGCACAGGGCCTGCATGGTCCAAGTCAGCTGGGATTTCAGTGCTGAGAGGGAGAACTCAACAGGAGCTCCCATCCCTAGCCAAGAAGCTATCTCTAACTGATATCCACTTGCAAAGGAAAAACTGGTCTTCTGCAAGGGAGTCTCAGTGAGTGTATTAGCCACACTTTAGGGCAGGCCCCTTGCCCAGCAGTATATGGCCAACACAAAACAATCACAATTGTGATCACAGGGATTCAATACCAGGTCCAGCGATTTGTGTTTTTGTAGATTTTCTGTCTCATGTGGCTTTGAGTATTTTTTTTTTGTCTTCCTTTCCTTTTGCTTATATATTATGGTTACTGATATTGTATTTTGATGGGTTTTGCTGTTGTGAATATGTGTGTATCTGGTGGTTTTATTTTGTCATTGTTGTTTTGTTTGCATGTTTGCTTTCTAAAGAGAGAAAGAGAAAGGGCGTGGAGCTGGGTGGGCGGGGCGGATCTGGGACTTGGCAGTGGTGAGAAACCATGATCAGAGTATATTATATGAAAAAATCTTTTCAATAAAAAAGATGGTGTTCCTTTCAGCAATACATATACTAGAATTAGAAAGATACAGAGCTTAGCACAGTCCCTGTGAAAGAATGACATACAAATCTGTGAAACACTTCTTATTTAAAAGGGGGAGGGGCTGTAGAGATGGCTCAGCTGTTGTAACTCCAGAGGGATCAGATGCTTCTGGCTTCCACTCATACACACACACACACACACACACACACACACAAAGAGGGGTCCAGTAGAGAAGAGAACAGGAAGAGAATTAATGGGCATGCAAGGGGGATAAGAAATGGTTACAGTGTATTTGTGTGTGTGTGTGTGTGTGTATGTTGAATATGGTAAAAATACATTGTGACCTGTGTGAAAATGTCATAATGACCCAGCTGGGTAGTGGGAACACACATCTGGTAAATCCCAGCACTCTGGAGGCAGAAGCAGGTGGGTCTCTGTGAGTTCAAGGCCAGCCTGGGGCCTTCAGAGTGAGTTCCAGGACAGCTAAGGCTTCAGGAGAACCCTGACTTAAAAAACAAACAAAAAAGTCATAAACCAATTATTATATATAGATAACACATACTGACAAAAACATTAAAAATAAAAATAAATAAGCAAATACAATGAAAAATAGAAAAAACCTGTGAGACCCCATCTCAAAAAATTAACATTGACACTGTATTTGCATATGCATTTACATGCACATTTGTCTATGTATTTGTAATAACACGAGTTTATCCAAGTAATAACTATTCCTGTAAGTGTAGACTCTTGCAGAATGCTTGCTTCAGTTGAGCAAAGCCCTGATTTTGATCCTCAGGACTGAAAGAAAAAAATGAAAAGCCTGTGTCAGGAAGTAGAGAAACACCATGCTACACAGAGGTGGCATGGTGGGGGTGGGGGTGGGGGAGGGATTGGGAGCTGGACATCCTTGTCCTGCACAAGTACTGGCCCCAAGTCTCAGGCTCTGGGTCTCAGTGACACAAACCTCAAGCTGAATGTGATCCTGGTGAATCTAAACAGTTAAGGGACAATGGTATACACTGCCCAAGCCCACAGGGTAGAAGCATGGTCTCTTTGGCAAGGCTGGGAGTATCTTAGGTGTGCCTTCCCTGTGCCGAGAAGCCATGAAGACACAGATAGCCCAGCACCTTCTGGAGGAGTGAGGTGCTGGAAGACGATCAGAGGAGAAGCAGAACACGGGGGAAGGGAAAGGGGACTTTTTTTTCCTTTTTTCTTTTTTTTCTTTTTCTTCTTCTTCTTCTTTTTTTTTTTTTCCCCGAGATAGGGTTTCTCTGTGTAGCCCTGGCTGTCCTGGAACTCACTCTGTAGACCAGGCTGGCCTCGAACTCAGAAATCTGCCTGCCTCTGCCTCCCAAGTGCTGGGATTAAAGGCGTGTGCCACCACTGCCCAGCTAAAAGGAGACATTTTAAAACTAGATCTTGCAAAAGCCAAAACTTAAAGAGTTAAAGACAGGAGACAATTGAGGATCACTAAGACAAACTGCGCTGGTCCAGACTGCTGTCAGATCTGGGGAGGCCTTAGAGGCCCAAGTGAAGAGTGAAGGAGTGAGTTCGCTGAAAACAGTCAGAACTGCTTACAGTTCTGGGAGAGGGAGGTGCCAGGAGGCACAGGGATGGATGGAGTAGTGAGTCAGTAGAGAGCCTGGCCAGGATCAGTGACTGTCGTGAGAGGAAGTGTGAGCACAGAGGCTGCAGCCTCAGTGACTCAGAGATGCTGGGACCACGAGAGAAACCAGACTGCACACATGGTGATGGAACCACGGCCACCCAATCAGGCTCCTTTGCCCCACAGTCCTAAGAGCCTTTGGGACAATTTGACAATCGCTACATAAGAATACTTCATTTTGCAAATAAGGAAACTGAGTTACAAGAAAAGGGAAATGAGCTGGTTTGTGAGTTCTGTGCTAGGCAGGACTATAAAGTGAAGTCCTGTCTCAAAAAAAAGAAAAAAAAGAAAAAAAATCGAAAGTATTTGCTTGTGCTGATGGGTGTCAGGACTTGAACTTTTAATCTTGAACTTGGATCTCTCTCCATCCTAGAAAGGAGCATGCCAGGTTGGTTTAGGGGAACAGCTAGCCATGGATCTATCTGTCATAATGCAGCTTACCACCTCCACCTAAGGAAATAAGGAAACAAAGAAGGTGGCTGGCGCTCTGAGTGGCTGCTGCTCTGAGGGATAGGTGGCTTTCTTGGCTAAAACTGAACTTGGAGTTACCTAAGGTTTCGCTTGGCTAGTATTTCTGTCCCTCAGTGATGCTGATGCGTGTGCGCGCGTGCACACACACACACACACACACACACACACCTGTAGCTTGCTGGAAAGGGACCTGGGCCCCAGTGGATTGGGCTGGGGATGGATAGGTGCTCACCTGGCCCAACAGGTGCCTAGCAGGTGTCCTAGCAGGAATCCTAGGTGTACCTCTGAAACACTTCTATAGCATGCTACCTATACACCTAACTCTAGGCTGATCCTCTAACCACTCAGTTACATAGTACCTTTTTTGTCTCCAGACCACAGTTTCTTTAAGGCAAAATAAGTTTTGTTTTTCCCCCAAACACTCTTTAAAGTGCCTCCTAGTTCCAATCCTTAGATTCCCATTCTCCTCCAAGCTTTCTGCCAGTGAACCCTCATGGACACAGGACTCTTGGGGCCAAACCCCTATTTAGATTGTCCACAGCCAGCACCCTAACCTGCAGTAGGTGTGTATGGTCAAGGATGAATACTGGTCCAACCAACTCAAGGCCACAAGCTTTGGCCAGTGGTTGAGTTTTAATGCTGTATAGGTTTTCCTTGGTATTCAAACTGGAGTGACATTCCCCAGCCAGGCCTTGGGTCCTGAAAACTGTTCAAAGACTAGGAGCAGAAAGGCTAGAGGGCCTTTCTGAGATTGTCCTAGAGTCCTGAAGCTGAGCATCATACTCTAGAAAGGAGGGGGAGAAGGGAGGGGCCACACCTACCTGATGAGGTCATGGGAAAGCAGCTCTGGCGCTGACACCTGGGGAAACCCGTTTCCAGGCTGCTTCCCACGCTAGCTCTCCTGGGAACCAAGTAAACCAAGCCCCAAGCAGGGAGCCCCACACCTGTTTCCCCTAGTCCAGTTCCCATCACACTGTCTCATCTGATCCAGCCCCCACCCTTCCACCAAGCCTCAGTTCCCAATCCATCTACCAAGGCTGTCGGGCCTTGGCAAAGGTTACGAAGGGGCATTGGGCTGACCACTCCAGGAAACCACAGACAGCAGCTTCAGAAACGGAAGGTTTTATTTGCAGACTGCATAGCTCACCTTCTAAGCTCTGACCTTGGAGAAAGGACGACCCTGCCCCTTCCTCCTTCAGGCTCTTATTTGCAGCTCCTCCCCCTCCCTTTGCTGGGCCTTACTCTCACTTCCTGCCCCTCTGCTAGCCCAGCCAGTTTGGGCAGTGCCTGGAGAGCCCTGAGACCCAGTTCTTCTCAGGGAGCAGTCCTGTCCTCCCTGGCCTTGGGGCTTGAGGGCAGCCCAGGTGTCAGCCTTCTCCACAGCTGTCCACCCTTCCTTCTTGTCTTCCTCCTTCCAGGCCCAGGCCTCTAATCTGCCTCCTGCCCACCACTCACCTCACTTTCTGTTTTCCCTCTCAATCTCTCACTGGCCTCTTCTTCATACCCCATGTCAAACATCTCCAAATCAAGGCTGACCGGTCGCCAGCCCTCCAAGACGCCCCACTGTTTTCCTGGCTTCATCACACCTGTGCTAGGAGAGGGTGATGACCCTGAGAGGGGCCTCAGCCAAACTGACCTGTGGACTCAGGATAAGAAACTGAGAATTACATCCCAAGCTGCTCAGCGATACTGACACTGATGGAACTATCCCATGAAAATCAAAGTGCTGGGATTTTCCTGTGAGTCTTGACCAAAGAAATCCAAATCAGCCAGCCCTTGCACAGGACAGAGACTCATCCTGGCTTACCAGAGTGCACAGCTTTGAGGCCCATGTCCCCTGTGTTCAATAGAGAACTGAGTCCTAGGGCTTGGCCAGGCCCTGCCAGTCCCCGATGTCTCAGGGTCAGAAGTCTTAGGCTATCTGCCTATCTCTTGCACTGCCATAGCTGCTCAAACAAAGCAGAAGAACTTCTTCCAGCGACATCGAGAGAGCGTGCGCACACCTTTTGCATTCAGTTTCTTCTCCAGGCGGGCTTTGTGTTCAATTGCACTGAGAATGGCCGAGTCGAACACCTCCTTCAAGTTCTTCTGCGTCAAGGCCGAGCACTCAAGGTAGCAGCAGGCCCGGATCTTCTCAGCCAGACCCTGGGCTTGGGGTTGGGGTACTGGGCCCTCCCGGCCTCCTTGGTCCAACTGAATTAGTACATTGACATCGTCCCTCAGGTCAGCCTGAGTGCCCACCAGCAACACAGGTGCTTGGGGGTTGTGAGTGCGGATCTCCGGCAGCCATTTTTCTGTTATGTTTTGGAAGGAGCTGGGCTGCACCACGCTGAAGCAAGCCAGAAAGACATCGGTATCCGGGTAGCAGAGAGAACGAAGCCGGTCAAAGTCCTCCTGGGGTGGCAAAACTAGTCGTTAGCAACACCATTCCCTCCACGTTGGAACTAGAATCTGCTTCTCCCTTGGGGGTGGAGACCTAAAGTGCTAAAGCCCAAGGCCAGCTCCATTCCAACTCCATGCAGGGATCCTCCCAGTCTCCGACCCTCTCCAACCCCTTGCCCAAAGAAGGTTACACCCAGGTTCTCACCTGCCCTGCAGTGTCCCAGAGCTCGATTCGCACAGGGGCTCCATCTACCAAGACTTGAACTGCAGAGGTGGGGAGGGGAAAGCATGACTTAGGCACAGCATCCTAGTCCCTCCAGACAGGCCTCACCAGCGCCACCTCCGGGCCTGCTCCCGGGGTCTTCCTTGCCCTCCCGCCAGCAAGCTACAGAATGCACAACCCTACCCAGTCCGAGGGGCCCCAGGGCTATAGGACATACCGGAGAAGGTGTCTAGTGCTGTAGGCCGATAGCGTGCGGGGTACCCATTGCAGGTGTAGCTGACGATGAGGCTGCTTTTGCCCACGGCGCCATCGCCCACCAACACGCATTTGATGCCCAGCTCTGGAGGGGCGCTGCGCCGCCGCG